TACGAAACATGCTTGTTCATCATACAATAAAATCGAAACACGTAATCACATATTACTCACACTCGTAAATTATAATTCATACAAACGTGCTCGAATTAATTTACGAAAGTTTCGATTTATTTACCTCTTGTAGCGTGAGATTTCGACGAATCGAAACCTAGAACCAATCACGTACAAGCTGCAAATTATCAATCCTCGGGGCTGCAACTCACGGCTGGAACAAGCTGATCCAGCAAGCGACGAACGGCGGTGTGAGGCAGCAGCAACGGCGGCGCGTGGCAGCAGCAGCGGCGGTGCGTGGATTGCGTAGCGGCGGTGCACCGGCGGTGCGTGGATTCGTCGGGGCAGCATCTCCTCTCCAATTAGGTTTCACCTCGTATTTTCGACCCACTCGAACTACAGCACTAGATGTGAACGAGTCAGATAAACAACAAGAATAAAATGAAGGAAACGAGAGGAGAAAACCGGCGGTTTTCCGGCGGTGATCGGCGGGGCAGCAACGGCCGAAGTGGAGGAGCGGCTAGGGCTTGGACGGCTAGGGTTTTGGTCCATCAAATCTGATCTCAAACTCTTGTTTGAGGTTTATTTATACTTAGGGTTTTTTAACCCTAGTGGGTTTAAGTCATTGGGCTTGACGCACTGATGTATTAAGCCCATTCCCTCGTCGGCCTCGTTTCTAATAAACGATCGTTCACAAAATTATAACAAAATTATATTTGTGACGAGCTCAAAGTCCTCGTCGATACGAGTGCCTCTTCGAAATTTCCAATTTCCAAAATTGGAAACTTCCACTTCAGTGGACTTGCTAAATCGGGAAACTTCCCAATTTAGAAAGTTCACTGAATTCCGCATGTCTCTCTTTCTCTACGTTTATTCCGATTCGCAATCAACAATTACGAATCTTGGATTCAATCATATCGACATCCAATCGTTCAAAGATTAACACATTAATCTATGCTTGTTGTTATCAAGGATCTATATTACACGAGAAGTGTGACCCTCAATGGTTAAGGTGTATGCTAGCCGTGGGCTCACAACTCTTTGTGATTCGAACAACACATTGTTCTTATACGAACTCCTCCCAAGAGTCCCGATTAGAGTAAAACTCATTTTACCTAATCCCCGATCAAATCGGTGCCCAACGAATCAAGATTGGCGTCTAGCAACTACGCATCATGATTCCCTAGATACAAGTGAAGTGCCTGCAAGAACCTTATGATATAGTTAGCCAGGGCCGGTCCAACGAATTTGGGGGCCCTAAGCAAGTTTTGAAAAAAATGTCCATTTCTTCGATAATATTATTGAACTTTTTCATAATTAATATATTTTTACATTAGAGGTGTTTATTAAACTAACAAAAACGAAACTACTATATACATATAAAATTAAGCAGTGATATATGGTGAAGCAAAAACACAGTACTATATTATAATAAGAAAAAAAATCATACTTAGAATATAATATAATTTATTAGCTTTGGTTAAAATTTGATGCATGAAAATGACCTATATTCAAGAAATTATATGTATATTATATGTCAAATACTCAAATTAAAGAACACAAACCTTGTATGCAGAATTTGAAGAATGGGAAAGCAATTCCCCTGCAACCGCCGCAACCACCGAAAAAGTTAGAAGAATAAGTTTTGTAATTGTTTAAGTTGTTTGCTAGTATAGTACTATTCTTTTTTAATTGATGCTTGACTTTTAGAGCTTTGGGCCCACAAAACTAAAGAAGCAATTCTTTTTTTTTCTGCCTATCATGTAAACGAGAATATCAAATATTTAATTTTTGCAATATATATCATACACTTTTTTTTTTTGGGTGCCCCTTCCTAGTTGGGGGCCCAAAGCAAATGTTTCCCCTGCAATACCCATGGGCCGGGCCTGTAGTTAGCGTACAGTACGATCCTTTCGCAGCACATGTCCCGATTGAACTAGAGGCATTGGTTCACCGAGACCTCTTATAAAGTTCAATAACCGTGCGGCCTTGTAGGTCGATACCTTTCCATCTACTCCAATTTTCTTCTTATTGATACACTTGCAGCCTATGGGAACGATTCCCTCGGGTGGATCTACCAAGGTCCATACCTTGTTGGAGTACATAGAGTCCATTTCGGATTTCATGGCATTAAGCCAATGTCCCTTGTCTGTATCCGATACAGCTTCGTTGAAAGTTCTAGGATCACATCCTTGGTCAACTTCATCAACGAGGAATAACCTATCGGACGCTCTCCGAACTCTTTCGGATCTACGCATCAACGGTTCAGGAGGTATATTAGTGGTTTGTTGAATTGGTTCATTATCTGATTGTTGTGCTTGAACTTCAGATTGTGGTTCTCGAACTTCTTCGAGATCAACTACACTGCCCTTTCTATCCGATAGAAATTCCTTCTCAAGGAACACGGCATTTCTCGAGACGAACACCTTTGCCTCGGAAACATAGTAGAATTCGTATCCCATGGAATCCTCGGGATACCCCACAAAATAGCATAGGTCGGATTTTCTATCCAACTTATCTCCCTCTAGCCGCTTCACGTAACCGGGACAACCCCATATCCTAATATGTTTAAACGTGGGTTTCTTGGAGTGCCAAAGTTCATAAGGTGTGGAGTTAACTGCTTTGGTATTAACCCTATTCAGCAAATACACGGCAGTTAGGAGTGCATGACCCGACAGGTATGCCGGTAGCTCGGTGAACCCCATCATAGATCGAACCATGTCTAACAGTGTTCGATTCCGACGTTCAGAAACTCCATTAAGTTCAGGAGTTCCAGGAGGAGTCCATTGAGACAGAATCCCATTCTCTTTAAGATAGTCTAACAACTCAGTACTTAAGTATTCGCCACCACGATCGGATCGTAGTTTCTTAATACGTCTACCAAGTTGGTTTTCTACTTGGTGTCTAAAATCTTTGAACTTTTCGAAAGTTTCAGACTTGTACTTCATTAAGTACACGAAACCATACCTAGAATAATCATCGATAAAGGTAACGAAGTAGTTAAAACCACCCCTAGCACTAACGCTTAGTGGACCACACACGTCTGAATGGATCAAATCCAAAAGACCCTCGGCTCGTTCCATCTTCCCTTTGAAGGGAGTCTTGGTCATTTTTCCTTTAAGGCAGGACACACAAGTTTGAAGTGATTTCACGTCCTCCAAGGAGAACATTCCTTCACTTACAAACTTGTTCATCCTTCTCAAGGAAATGTGACCCAGTCGAGCGTGCCAAAGTTGTGCGGGGTTAAGACTTGTATCTTTTCGTTTTGCTGATATAACGTTAATTGGTATTTCATTTGGATTTAGTTCATATAAGTTGTTTATAAGTTGTCCCTTACAAATCATATTTTGATCTTTTTGTATAATGCAAATCGAATTTCCAAAAACAAAAGTAAAACCTTCATTATCCAAAACAGGAATAGAAATAAGGTTTCGAATAAGTGACGGAACAAATAAACAATTGTTCAAAACAATGGAAAAACTAAAATCCAAAACAGAAAGATAAATCGTCCCAATGGCTTCAGCAGCAACCCTTGCTCCGTTGCCCATTCTTAGGTAGGTCTCACCCACATTAAGACTCCTACTTCTTGTCATGAGCTGCAAATCATTACAAAGATGTGAGCCACAACCAGTATCCAATACCCAAGAAGAAGATTTAATGGACAAATTAACTTCTATTAAATACGTACCCTTTTCAGAACGTTTCTGATCGAGGTAAGCCTTGCAGTTGCGTCGCCAATGGCCCTTTCTTTCCACAATGATGGCAAGCGTCATCAACTTGCTTGGTGACCTTGTCATTCTTCACTCCGCTCGACTCGCCCTTCTCAAGTTTCTTGCTCGGGCCGAAACTCCTTTCTTTCCTTTTCTTCTGTAAAGAACCTTTCTTCGCAGAAGGAGCAACTAGGAGAACAGATTTCTCCTTCTTGATCGTGGACTCATAGCTGACCAACATGTTCAACAACTCATCCAATGGTGGATCGAGCTTGTTCATGTTGAAGTTCACTATGAACGATTCATAAGAACTATGAAGGGACAGTAGGATCAAATCCACCGAGAGCTCGGCAGGGAGGGTGACATCAAGGCTCACCAACTTCTCAAGGAGAGTGATTTTCTTGAGACCGTGCTTGTGGACCGAAGCCCCTTCACGCAGCCTCATGGTGATCAACTCCTTGGTAGCTGAGTACCTCGATGCCCTAGTATTCTCACTGTACATGCTTTCAAGATGATGCTTGATATGATAAGCATGCACGTGAGACTCATACTTCCTCGCAAGCTCTGGCACCATGGATGCTAGCATGTAGCACCTCGCATGGAGGTCGTCCTTCTTCCATGCCTCAAATGTGGCAGTCTCGTCAGAAGTAGCAGTCGCAGGGAGAGCAGCGGGGGGACGTTCATTGAGCACATAGAGACGCTCCTCGACTTGGAGCACAAGTTTCAGATTGCGAAGCCAATCCAAATAGTTTGGACCGGTGCGTTTGTTTTGGTCGAGGATAGAGGAAAGGGGATGTTTGGACATTGTTGCTGAGAAAATTTTAAGAAGACAATAATTAGAGTTTAGTTCGTAATAATCGTTACAATTAAAATTTTGGACTTTTATGTTTTAATTGTTCTCCCACTAATTTTATCGAATTCCACCACCCTCTAGCAGACAATCGAGAAAACTTATTTTTCTTTAATGGGCTTTAGGTCCAATAGCGCTAATGTAACCCGTAGTTAATCTATCCCAATTACATAAGCCTAAGGCCCATTTTGGTTGGGCTGATCCGGGCAGATTGATCTTCTTATCTGGGCGGATCTTTGATTTGGTTCACTATAGCTGGATCCGGATAGATCCTGGGCCCGGGTTCGGATCCACCAATTACGTGATAGCAGATCTCACCGTGGGAGGTGTGATCGGGTAATCCGATTTTTTTCCCTTAAAACCGTGAAGTGCTATTACCCTATTGCCCTCAAAGTACATTTGTAGTTACAATTGTACCAGGTATAAATACATATTATCTCCTTCAACGAAGCCCTAGTTTCTTCTCTGTCATTGCCATTGGTCATCGCCGACTTCCAATTCTCCTTCTTTGCCGTTTATCGTTGAAATTGGCAGCTTCGGCGGCGTGGAGGCACTTCTTTGCGGCACCGTGAGGTGAGTTTTCCAAATATAACTGGACACATTAATATTCTCCACTCTTCGTACATTGGATATGGCATGCTTTGGATGGTTGTCATTGTTGACTCCATTTATTAACTAAATAAAAATTTAACCCACCAGATCCCCAATTGGACTCAATTTATTTGTTTGGAATTATTGGGTAAAATGTGCGGTTTCATCATTGAACAACAATTGGTGATAATTTGTACTACGGTGTTTGTTGGGCAGACGGTCTTTCGAGCTCATAAAGAATATGCCACAGTTCCCCCAAAAATTCCCATCTTTTTATGGAAGTAGCATGATATTAATTTGGAATTTTTGATTTTATTCAGCTGGAATTGCAGTGGGATAATATTGGATTGTTTGTGAGGTTGCATCATTCAACTAAAATATGTGATAATTTTGCATCATTTAACTAAAAATACACTGCATAAGTTATCTATTATTGACTTTTGATGCCTTTTCTTGGAATTATGTGGTGGAGAAGCATGACATTTTCCAGGTGGTGAATAATTTCAGAAATTTAGCTGCAAAAATATTTTCCATATTTCTGTGTTGGACTGAACTCTCACATGTCATGCTTGTGTGAAGAATAAGAAAAACGGTGGGCACAAAACTTGGAAACACGTGCAATCATTTATAAGGTAATTAACTTATAACAGAGCAGAGTCAGCTTTGGCTCTTTTGATATTTTTTTGATCCTTTTTTCAAGGAAAAATGGATCGAGTTACAACATTTGTGCATATTATGGAGTCACTAATGATATTATTTGTTTACGATTTGACGAATTGGTTTTTGTTACTTCTATCGAAGATTATTGCCCATATGTATTTAATCACTTACCTACCGAATCATATTTACTTTCTCGTTATCTAAGATGGCATCCACTTCTGTTATTGTTAATATAGTTTTCATAATTGCTCATTGTTAACTCTTTACTTTTGTAATCAATATTCATGTGAAATTAGTAGCATCATGGTGGTCTGGTTAAGGGAGAGTGAGCTGAATAGGGCAGTTGAGATAGATGGACTTGAGTGATGTTAACATGCTTGCGAGAAAACTAAGGCTTTCTTGGGTGGGCGGTGGGAGATTGGAGAGAAACAGTTGCAATGCTAAGTGAATAGTTCATTTATAGAAGAAGGAATTATAGAACTTTTGATTTAAATAATGCCTAATTTGTTTCAAGAGTTGCAGTTGATGTCATTCTCTATAGGGAATTCTTTAGCTCTTTATATCTCACTTTAGGGATGCTGACACGTGTGTTGCATTTGTTCATATGTACTCAGGTTCACCGAGCATGACTAATGTGACAAAATTGATGTTCTTGTGAAGGTAAGTGAAATTAAGTGTCTGCTTCTCGTCTTCGCATGGTTACTCGTTTAATTGTATTATCATTGTAGGTGACTGATATCTGCAGCTCCCAAGCTTTTGTTTTGCCTTGTACATGGAAAAGACAGAAAAGGGGGTTATGGTTTGAATGATCCTCGAAGGTCGCTACTTCGGATAGATAGACTACCATCCACTTACAAGGCGACGAAGAAATTTTCCGTATTCGGACCCCATCTTGCGGCGTTATTTATATTTAAGATACTTTATTTCTTCTTTAATTTAATTTTGTGGTGGACATTATAGTAGTCCACTTGTTTGTCACAAATATAAATTTTATGTAATATGGCAGATTATATTACGCAAATTTTCTACAAGTATTTTGTGAAGTTTCTGTTAGTTTGGATGTCTAACATGGCCTCCAAAAAATTATGTTATTTTGGAGCTTTTGCTCAATTTTATTAGCTTCATATTTTGTAGAAAATAGAAAATATAGATAATGACATCTAATTGTTATATTAATGTTCATTTTTCCAATAATAAACACAAATTATAAATTACAATACAATAGAAAAAAGCAAGAATGAAGTCACCCCATAACATAAACAACTACAAACGTTTATTTTGGAAGTAAAGCAAATTCATCATAGCTTGGGCCTTGGTGTATTATATAATAATAAAAAGGGCTTGCAAGGGGTGGAAATGTAATTATCCTAAAATGTTAGGGCTAATTGTATAATTACAGGAAAATGGGAGGAAAGAATGGGTGGTGTGCAACCAATATTTAACAAATTGACAGGTGCAAGGGGTGGAAATATAATTATCCGAAAATGTTAGGAATGCTTTTATAATTAAAGGAAAATGGGAGGAATAAATGGGTGGTGCAAGCAATATTTTAAAAATTGACAGGTGTATAATATAATAATAAAAAAGGCTTATCAGGGGTGGTAATGTTATTATCCAAAAATATTAGGGATGGTTTTATAATTAAAGGAAAATGAGAGGTGTATAGTATAATAATAAAAAGGGCTTGCAAGGGGTGGATGTAATTATCCAAAAATGTTAGGGATGCTTTTATAATTAAAGGAAAATGGGAGGAATGAATGGGTGCAACAAGAAATATTTTAAAAGTTGACGGGTGTATACTGTAATAATAAAAAGGGCTTAGTAGGGGTGGAAATGTAATTATCCGAAAAATTTAGGGCTGATTTTATAATTACAGGAAAATAGGAGAAAAGAATGGGTGAGCAAGCAATATTTTAAGGTGCATAATATAATAGGGTCCATAATAAAAAGCCTTACAAGGGTGGTAATGTAATTAACCAAATTATCCCACCCAATCCTCCCAACCATTCATGAGTTTGGCTCATTCGGATTAAATCCCACATATCCGTATCCAACCAACCCAACCCGAGATACCATCCATATTTTACTAATCCATACAGTGTAATTTCAATATGAAGCCCCAATCCCATCCTATCCCGTCCCTCCAACCAAAAGGGGCCTAAAGGTAGAGTACTATCAATCATATCACTATGTGACCCTAAAGATCGATTTACATCACACTTGATAATGACCTAAGTTAATCTAGCGAATATCAAAATCTTCGTGTGTCAAGTCTAGCCTACCAATATGAGATGTCATAGATCCAACTATATTAAACTAATGCAATCCCTAGTTAATCTAGCCGACCACATTAATCCAATATAATTTTATCTATGACCATATCTCCATCTAATGTCAATTAAATTACAGCTTATCCCACAATAGCACTCCCCGCTAACACGGATTACTACACTATTATGAGAGGCTACACATAATTTAATTGTTGGTAGAAGGAAAGAAAAATTCAACAATTTGGTTTTTCTTTGTAGCTTGATAATTATTCTTGATTAAGAATGAGGGATTTTATTTATTAAATCTTATTAGCTCATCGGAAGTTTTAGGTTATGATCGTTTGTGATTCCTACAACTATGTTCTCTAGGTATGTGGAAACGCATATGGATCCAAAGAGAGACATACGATCATCATCGTACTTAATCACAATTATTCATCTCATGAATTAATTAATAAATACGATTAATTGCAAATATAATTAACCGACTCCCTTCATTCATAAATCAATCAAATAAGAATGAAGTCCATTAATTATTTGCCATCTACTTTGTGTTCCATTAATTAAACTAATTTAACGATTAAATTAAATAATTAATCCAACACTATTCTTTGAATTCAAATTAAATTAATGGATCAATTATCTAATTGGGTTTAATTGATAAATAATTTCAAAAATTAAAAATCAATTAATTTTTAATATTAATATCAGAAAATCAAACAATTTTTTTTTTTTTGTGTGTGCTGACCGGACCGGTCAGACGGGTCCGACCGGACCGGTTCGGTCAGCTGAAAAACAGCAGAAAAATTGAGTTTAAATTTTTTTATATTTTCTGAAATATTCAAAATATTTAATTAATATTAAAACACCCAATTCGATAACACCAATAATTCAACAATTCAACAAATCGAAGCATGCTTTCGAAAGCGATAAACACGTTGACAAATAAACGATTAACCCGTGGCTCTGATACCACTGTTGGGGATCGTGCATGTATACGCAGCGGAATTTAAAAATTTTATATCGATCTAGTTTCGATTACATGCATAAACTAATCACATAGTCAACGTACCTTAACGCTTCCGCCATACATATGGTAATTATCGATTTAATTGAAAAACACGTAAAACCGAAAATTACGAAACATGCTTGTTCATCATACAATAAAATCGAAACACCTAATCACATATTACTCACACTCGTAAATTATAATTCATACAAACGTGCTCGAATTAATTTACGAAAGTTTCGATTTATTTACCTCTTGTAGCGTGAGATTTCGACGAATCGAAACCTGGAACCAATCACGTACAAGCTGCGGTGCGTGGATTCGTCGGGGCAGCATCTCCTCTCCAATTAGGTTTCACCTCGTATTTTCGACCCACTCGAACTACAGCACTAGATGTGAACGAGTCAGATAAACAACAAGAATAAAACGAAGGAAACGAGAGGAGAAAACCGGCGGTTTTCCGGCGGTGATCGGCGGGGCAGCAACGGCCGAAGTGGAGGAGCGGCTAGGGCTTGGACGGCTAGTGTTTTGGTCCATCAAATCTGATCTCAAACTCTTGTTTGAGGTCTATTTATACTTAGGGTTTTTTAACCCCAGTGGGTTTAAGTCATTGGGCTTGACGCACTGATGTATTAAGCCCATTCCCTCGTCGGCCTCGTTTCTAATAAACGATCGTTCACAAAATTATAACAAAATTATATTTGTGACGAGCTCAAAGTCCTCGTCGATACGAGTGCCTCTTCGAAATTTCCAATTTCCAAAATTGGAAACTTCCACTTCAGTGGACTTGCTAAATCGGGAAACTTCCCAATTTAGAAAGTTCACTGAATTCCGCATGTCTCTCTTTCTCTACGTTTATTCCGATTCGCAATCAACAATTACGAATCTTGGATTCAATCATATCGACATCCAATCGTTCAAAGATTAACACATTAATCTATGCTTGTTGTTATCAAGGATCTATATTACACGAGAAGTGTGACCCTCAATGGTTAAGGTGTATGCTAGCCGTGGGCTCACAACTCTTTGTGATTCGAACAACACATTGTTCTTATACGAACTCCTCCCAAGAGTCCCGATTAGAGTAAAACTCATTTTACCTAATCCCCGATCAAATCGGTGCCCAACGAATCAAGATTGGCGTCTAGCAACTACGCATCATGATTCCCTAGATACAAGTGAAGTGCCTGCAAGAACCTTATGATATAGTTAGCCAGGGCCGGTCCAACGAATTTGGGGGCCCTAAGCAAGTTTTGAAAAAAATGTCCATTTCTTCGATAATATTATTGAATTTTTCATAATTAATATATTTTTACATTAGAGGTGTTTATTAAACTAACAAAAACGAAACTACTATATACATATAAAATTAAGCAGTGATATATGGTGAAGCAAAAACACAGTACTATATTATAATAAGAAAAAAAATCATACTTAGAATATAATATAATTTATTAGCTTTGGTTAAAATTTGATGCATGAAAATGACCTATATTCAAGAAATTATATGTATATTATATGTCAAATACTCAAATTAAAGAACATTAACCTTGTATGCAGAATTTGAAGAATGGGAAAGCAATTCCCCTGCAACCGCCGCAACCACCGAAAAAGTTAGAAGAATAAGTTTTGTAATTGTTTAAGTTGTTTGCTAGTATAGTACTATTCTTTTTTAATTGATGCTTGACTTTTAGAGCTTTGGGCCCACAAAACTAAAGAAGCAATTCTTTTTTTTTCTGCCTATCATGTAAACGAGAATATCAAATATTTAATTTTTGCAATATATATCATACACTTTTTTTTTTGGGTGCCCCTTCCTAGTTGGGGGCCCAAAGCAAATGTTTCCCCTGCAATACCCATGGGCCGGGCCTGTAGTTAGCGTACAGTACGATCCTTTCGCAACACATGTCCCGATTGAACTAGAGGCATTGGTTCACCGAGACCTCTTATAAAGTTCAATAACCGTGCGAACGTTCTAGGTATTATAAATCCGTTCGTGTGCGACTTAGGGAAACACATTTCCCTAATCACCCCACTATCAACTCAGGCCAGAGATTCCTTGGATTATAAACCATCAGAACACACATGACATCCATGACTACTCAAGCGCTCGAATCCCCTACTACAATGCACAGACTTCACACTAGACTTCGGATTGCACGAACGTTGGCCCTTGGAGTGGTCCGCGGTGGGACTCGGAGACAGGTCACGATACAATCGGTGCTCTAGTGAAGTCACGGTGATGTCTGGGTCTTAAGGACTAATGGTGTACAACTATATCTAAGAAACCTATTACACGATGAATGAGAACCACTTATAGATTTCTAGGGCGAGGGAGTTCAGTGAACTCATCTAGTATTAGCACCCACTCAAGTATGCCGATGTCACAACACCGAGGACTGATGAGACGCAGTACACATACACTAAGTGCTAGTCTCAAAACGGAAAGGCCGGTATCCTCATTATTGGCGTAACCCATCGACTAGGAACAAGGTTTAACAGTTACATTACACTGCTGAGTTATCTCACGATTCTACTAGATCAACTCACAGTAATAGAGTAACTCGTTAGGACTATATCTATGCTACTTGCATGGGATAACAGATATAGAATGCCAAATAAGATATTTTATTATTACGAATGAAAACGATTGTTTTATTACAAGATAAAAGGAAAGACCACAGCCACAAGTTGGCTTGTTGGTCACCTACTCCAACAATCTGCCACTTGACCTAAAGCCAACTACTCATAAATCTAAGTCCCATCGACTCTCGATGTTTCTCGTGGA